GGAATTGGAATTGGTCTGGAATTGATTGGACTTGGAATTGGAATTGGTAGGAATTGGTTGGAATTGGAATTGGTCTGGAATTCCTACCAATTCCAATTCCAAGTCCAATCAATTCCAGACCAATTCCAATTCCGACCAATTCCAAGTCCAACCGATTCCGACCAATTCCAATTCCAATTCCAATCAATGCCGACCAATTCCAATTCTTGACTTGGAATTGGAATTGGTGCATCCCTAGAAATGATTAAAGCTGCATTTAATCATTCTTCTCTTCAACGAATCAATCTAATTACAAATGCTCGTTCAAATTGTTTTTCACGACGCAGAAATTTAGATGGCAACTTGACCTTTCGTTTGGTTAAAATGGATTGTATGACCTCGGATTTTCATGGTGTAAAAATTGATCATGCTTGCTATAAATTACACAGCAGACGCTATCTACCTTTGACGGGACAACTTCATATTCGTCGTCTCAATCTTGATTTCAAGCAATGGAGATTACACTTACTAGTTGAATTCTTATCTGCTATGCCTTCGTTAATAACATTAACAATTAAAGGCTTCTGTTGTTGTAATAATATTTATTTCTGGCTATATGCCGACCGTTGGGAACAAATGTTGCAAAATTTGAAGGCATTGCAACATGTCACTATCGAGATTTACCTTGCTTTACCAATAAGGTTGAGACAAGGGTGCGTGAAATCGTTCAATGAAAGTGTAGCAGAAAATTTTGAAACCTGCAAACGGATAAATTTGGTAGCCGGACCAAGAACGAAAAAACCAGGTGTGGGATGTGTTCAGATTAGTGCTTCGCTTAATATGGGCTAGAATATATTGACAAAGTTCAAAAGAATTACATCAATCATTCTTTTTTTTTTCGTTAAATATTATTGTAAAAAGGTTTTTTTCATGATTATTATTCAAGAAATAAATTCACGATCATTTATTCTAATTTCTCTATTCTCATGTTGTAAAATGGCAAAGATAATATGAGAAGCATTAATCTAAAACAATATGGATATTTTCTAAAAATCAAATGCAACTTAACATCGAGAAAAAGTTATTCATAAATGACCACAAATAATTTAGACAAAAAAAAAGAACACATATAGACGATGATGAACAACATCAGCGTTGTGATTATATCACTGCTTGAAATCTATTTTAAAGAAAAAACAAAAATTTGTTTCTTTTGTTCACTGTAACATGACAACATCTCGAAAGAATAGTTCGAGTACTCGACGGGTGTATGGGTGTGGGTGAAAATAACATTGATAGTCGCAGCCATACCCAAGTCCATATCCACACCTCAAGACTATCAATGTTCTTTTCATTCACACCCACACCCTCAAGAGTTCAACAGTCCGGTAGATAAATAAACGAAAAAAGTTCATACACTAGACTGGACTAGCGCATTACAATTGTTTCTTATTTCATTGTTAGTTTTTCTTTTTTTCTTAAATAAAACGAGCACAAATTAAATTACTCTATTATTCCAGTTGACTTGATATCCATCTTATTTCGTGACGTGTCTAGACTTCTGGCGATGGTAGATTTTCTTCTATCTACTGTATTTTGCATGTACATTAAACTGAGATGATGAAAAACCTAATTTGGTAAAGTATCCTTCGTTGATATAGATTTATTGATATTTAATATATTATTAGAAGTTTATAAATACTAAAAGAATCCTGAGAATCGAATGAAAATCAAGAAATCCCAACGGGAATCCGATGGGAATTCAGGGAGTCCCATTGTAATCCGGGAATCCTGAATCCGCCTTTTCACCTTGGAGTAAACCTCTGCGAGAGCCTGGATGAAATATGATAAATAAAATATTTAGCTTTTCTTCTTCCAATTATTAACTATTAACGTCTATTATAATAATTATGATTTTGAAACACGTCCTATTCATCTGCAATGTCTTGCTTTCACATATACAACTCTGCTAGAAAATATTTTCGTTTTGATGGGTGTGAGAGTTGGTGGTACAAAACTGAGAATATGCTCACACCCACACCCACTTCTCACTTAGTGCTTTGAATTTGAGTATCGGCATGTTTACATAAATGAAGGACTTTGAATAATGTGCTTATATTGTCGCACATTTCAAGCAGCTCAGTAGGGTTTCTTTTTGAGTGTTAGCTGATTTTCTCTTTGTTCTGTTCTGCTTCTTCTTCTTCTTTTTGAATTTGAATGAATTATTTTTATCGTGGGTGGACAAGTGGCTGTGCAATTTAAATATCCAATTCTTCAACTGCACATAAGTACTTATTTTGCTATCATACGCAGGAGACCGAAAAGCAAATAAAAAATAAAAGCATTTCAAAACAATTTTTAAATTTTCACTATGCTAGCTAGCATCCTTATATTACTGCTCGCGATACGTGACAATATATATTATTAATAAAGAAGACCTATTCTATTGAGTTTGAGAAAAGAATATTTGATTTCAAGTATATATTTTAGAATAACAAATAAATCAATTTGAAAAACTAACAAACAAGAAAAGAAAGTTTTACTTGATTACTTATAAAAACTTTGTCAACTGATACTGTTCCATCTTTTCCCAAGTAATATTAAATCGACAAAGTTGAGGGAAACGTTTAAATTACTTCATAAAAATCACCTGGTTCTGGTTCAACATTGTATACTAAAAATCCAGACAAAATTCCACACAAATTCAAGAATGTATTAACAAATAGCATGTCAGAAATCATGACACTATTTTCGTCTTCAATATTATTTAGTTCAGACGAACAATTTCTCTCCAAACATATGAATCAGTTTCAATATCTTCACAATAAATACTTTTTACGTGGCCTCAATTTAGTATTATTAAGCATCTATCACCAACACGACAATATTCAAATTCTATTTTATCAATTATTATCACATTCATTTCTTATACAATCAAATAATAATTTAAGCAACCGTTATATATTTCAACAATCGACTTTTGAAGAGAACCATCAATATTTCGATTCTAAATGATGATAAACAATCGAAATATTCAATATCTTCATCACGTTCAAAACCACTTTCAAATTCACCTTTACGAGCTAAAAATCAGCAGTGTTTAAACTGGCAAGAACATACATGTCGAACTTGAAACTTGAATTCAACTGAAACTTCAAGTTTCAAGTTTCAACCTTCAAGTTTCAGGTTTGACGTTATTGCTCTGACACTACTGCTTCCCCGGCACCCACATTAAGGGTGCATATGTGTGTTTGTAGACAAGCGAATTTCCCTTCCCCGGCACCCACACCCTTGAAACTTGAAACTTGAAGTTTCAGTTGAATTCAAGTTTCAAGTTTGACACTACTGGAAAAGGTTCGGTAGATTTGAAAAAGCATCCAAATGCATCATACTGTCTGAAAAACACTTCTTTTTTTCTACGGAACCTTTAAAGGTTCTTCCCCCGGATACACGGGAAGAACCTTTTGCTACGAAACCTTTTTTAAGTTCCGTACATCAGAAAAAGGTTTCGCAAGAAAAATGCGAAACCTTTAGGGTTCAGAGTTGAATTCTAATGGTTTCTTACTAAACCCCAATGGTTTCGTACTAAACCATAGAATTCAATTCTGAAACCTTTTTCTGATGTACGGAACTTAAAAAAAGGCTTCGTAGCAAAAGGTTCTTCCTGTGTATCCGGGGGAAGAACCTTTAAAGGTGCCGTAGAAAAAAAGAAGTGTTTTTCAGACAGTATGATGCATTTGGATGCTTTTTCAAATCTACCGAACCTTTTTTCCAGGGTTCGGTGGAAAACCTATTTTTTTTAGAGTGTAGTCATTTTGTTATCTTCTCCAAGGAAATTTAACCTTTACTTGTAGAACGTATGATCTTGCTGAAACAATGGTGGATATAATGTGTTGCTAATTGAAGTAAACAACGTCAAGAGCCATATTGTTTTTACTTTCACTTTCACCATCACACTCAAACACTTAAGGGCATAAAAAGAATACTATTCACAACGAACAAATGTTGAGTTACATAAAATTGCACTTGAAAGAGTGATGGAGCCGCTTACGCCCAATTCCCAACATCAATTTTTTACAAATGTTCAGCCTTATGTAAGATATTTATCATTAGTTTCTAACAAAACTAGAGATTATTTTATCAGAATTCAATGATCCCGAATGTGAAGGGTGAGCATACCAACGTTAAGGAAACGAATACCGCATTTAAACATATGCCATCGATAAAACCTGCGTAATAAATAATTATGTAGAACTTTGTGACATCATAGAAAGCACTTTGAATTTGTCTATCTGCAGGAAAGCATCACAAAGTAGTTGGAAGAATGTTATGGTCGTTATATGTATCATCCATGTCATCCTCCTTGTGGCCGCTGTGATCGTCATTCCAATATATATCAGTCGTCTGATCGCATCAGGTTTGTTGTTTCTTGAGTATCATATTTGAGCTTTTGATTTTCTACCTAGAGTAGATCATTACGCCTTTCTGTATATAATATTCATGTTAAATCAACAGACTCTTGATTACTGAATAAATGAGGAAAAAAGGAATTATGCAGTATTTTCTTTCTCTCTGTCCTGTGATAATTCATGCGCGCAGAGCAACCTGAAAGTAGGCTATTCACTGTTCTGCTAACAATCGAACGTGTTTTCTTTTTATGCAGAAGGCTTAGGTACATTTTCAGAACTTTGAATAGTCTTTCTTTACGATTTCAAAAAGCCTGTAGTGCTCCATTCGCAGAGGGTAGTCGCGCTTATTTTCAAAAACTGCGTTTGAAAATATGGTCGCGAAGGAGTGGCAGGAAAGTTGAGCTAGTAGAACTCAATGTTGATATGAAAAATAGCTCAATCAAAGCCCATACATGGGTAAACAAAAATAAATGACACATGGCAAAAATATTCCTACATCGATTTTATCTTGTAAAGATTTATTTCATTTTATTATATTTGTTAAAACTCCAAAGCCGAATAAGAGATTTTGAAATATGACCAAGAATAATATTTCTGTCAAATAGTTGATGCAAAAACTCGAAATACTTCGACTCTGGAACAACCCTATCTTTTTAAGTGTCATTGATTTCATATATGATTTCGAAGAGTTAACCATTGTGAAAATTTATTTTTGCTTTAGGAATCACGACAACAACTGTTGCTACAAGTAAAAAATTCTATCCTTGATGTATTCAGTAGAAAATTTTCTCTATCTATAGCTGTCTCCTTACCCAGTCAATGCTCTAACTACACACTCGATACAGATGCCACTCGCCTTTTAACGTACACTATTGGTTCGTCAGGTTGTGATGTTACTACTTATTCTACACCACTAAAATATTGTTCAAAAATATACATGTGCTTAACCTTCTTCTTGGGAGTAACGGTATTTTAACGGATCTCCTACATATGTGAATAGTTACTTGGGTACGTTTTACGGGTGGAGGTGCAACTCAATTAGCTACAACTACTCCTCAAACTTATCGGTGTGCAACATCGGCCACAGGTTGGCTAGTTAGCGCTCTACCATCGACTGTTGGTTCAGTGGTTTCCGGACTCGTTTGTTTCAACTGGTCAAGCAGTATTTGCTACTGGTCTACCACGATTTCGGTTGCTAACTGTAATACCTTTTATATCTTTCTCCTTGTTTCTCCATCACAATGTAGTTTGCGCTATTGCACTCAATGAAGTAGACATTGCTTGTTTTTTCGATCTTTTTTTCAAATATACATAGAAATTTAAGTCTAACGAAGATTTTTGTTTATTGAGAAAATTAAGGGCGTGAATGTTGATACCGTTTTCCTCGTGACCCACATCCATACCCACATCCTAATGCTATTGGCACGCGTTGTAATTTCATATGGATGAAGGTGTTTTAAATATCGAGCATTTATAATTCGATAACATTTCTTATTGTATTCATTAATTGCCTTGCGCTGAGCAAAAAGGAATAAGTGACTGTTGAGTTTTTTTCCATTTCTGCCAATGAAAATTGAATTTGCTTTTCTTTCATTCCAACAATGCAGTACAATATGTATTGTATGCGGGTGGGGTGTGTGTGGGGTGTGAGTGTGTGTGAGTGTGAGTGTGGGTTTGGGTGTCACTCTTATGTTAACACACATCCACACCCTCAAGTAGTGAGTAGGGGTGGCACTTTAACTTTAAGCTTTGATTAAACTAAACACTTTCACATTTTAATTAGACTAGTACTTTAACTTTAATTTTAATTTTAAAGTTTAAAGTTGCAGTTAAACCAAGAGAGAGTTGAACACGAAGTGCTAAAAATTAGTTGTCACTTTAACTCTGGCTTTTTAAAGTTAAAGTGCCACCCCTAGTAGTGAGTCTTAAACAAGTACGAGACGATGAAAGAAAGAGTGAGTGGCTTAACTTAGAGTTTCACTATTGGGTATGGGAAGATAACGCTACGCAAACTTAAGAAGACAATATTTCTTATACGTTTGTGTTAATGACTTTGAGATACAGAACGGTCTCTGCCATTCATAGAACAGTTGACTGTTAGATTTCTATTATGTTTCACAATTCAAAATTTTGAAGAAAAACTTTTCTAAGCGGTATTTATACGGTGTGAAGATGAATATTTCTTAATTTTTTAGTTTCAAACACATCTATATCTTCAATAAGTACGTAAAACTGTTCTATGAAATAATCTATTTGTAAAACAATTGTTTGTGTTTATATTCGAATAGCAAATTCCACTTCAACTTTGAGGAGTAAGTGAATTTAGAATAATTATTTTTTCTAGTAATTCAGAAACAATAGTACTTCCAGTTCTACAAATTAAGTTTATAATTTATCGCTGGGAATTTCCCTGAAGCTATTTTCTTTTGTAAAACAAATTCTGAATGTTGATATTATTTACACGTAAGTTAGATGACTGAAGCAATGGAATGAAACATCTTTGATTAGAAAATGCCAGTTTGGCATATCCTACAAATTTTGCAAATCAGATCATATTTCTATCAACGTTTTCTTTGTTTTGCCTATGGAAAAATTGATATAAGCGCGAATAATGATTGATAAAGTCAAAATTAACTTGTACATTTTTTTTATCAATGTCATACTCTCAGATATTCCAACCGATGTATGCATGCTACAAAGCCAATCACGAAAATATTCATGTCTGAGACAAGTTGAGAAAAAAAATCAATTAGAAACTTTCTGTAAAAGCTCAATGAAACGATATATATTGTTTTCAAAAACGAAAAGGATAAATAATTGGTATCGTGCACAGCTTATAGTCGAACATTTTTTTTTCAAGCTAAATTAACCTGTAGGCCATTTAAACGTGCATCGATTACCTATGAAGATGTCTTATTGTTCATCTACGCAATAAAAATCGATATGATTCTAATTCTGCAATATCTACAAGTTCATGATAGAATGAACTTAGGAGAATAGTGTTCAGTTTTCTATATTTTCATTCATGACTTTCTGAGCCGTTCTTAGCCCATACATAAAATTTGTTTGTTTCTTGTAGAGAAAATGTTTAAAATAAACCAAGTTAGATATTTCAATTCGATAATTCACTGTGTTATTTTGTAATCTTTGGATAATTTATGTGGAAGTAAAATATACTACCCATAATTATAGAAAGTACTATGTCTATTCATAGTACGACTAAAATCTAATGAAAAAAACTGTCTAATCAAATTATTCAACAAACTATTGTAGATTCTACTGATCCATTGCCAAGACCAAGAGAACCATTAAGTTTAGAAGCATTATGCATGATAATCAAAGCAAAACTTCGAAGAGATCATCCTAATGCAATATTTCCATATTTGCCTACAATAAATGGTAATTTAGCTTCATATTTAGCATTCGTTCGTCAACATGGTTCAGTGATCGAAGGCCGATATACATTGGGAAGTGTACCAGCCTCCGATTACGATTATGTTACATGTGTGTATTATAATCATCACAATATTGAAATCTCACGTTTACAAATAAGTACAAAACCTGGTTTCTGTGACGTTACGAGTACTGATATACCATAATGTAAGAAAACTAGAAATGCTAGTCTATGGTATTTCTTCATCTCCAACCGGTGGCTATATATCACTTGATGGTACATATGTACCAACGCGAGGAGTTTCAAATTATGGTAATGCATTCGGTTACAGAGACTCGGGAATTTGTACCTCAATGTGTGTTAGTAAATTTAACATGCCTAATGAACAGATTAAAGTCGATTCGGCTACTGGAATATCAACCTGGAGTATCGTACCAAAGCGTTTAGATTCAAGTTCTACAGTTCGATTGGAAAAAGTTCTTGTCGAATCATCAAATGCTGATATTGGAATTACTACCATTGTTCCCGTAGTTCAACAAAATAATGGTCAACTTGTTGAATTAAATTCTATTTCTGGTCAAGCAAATTCGCCAATTACAGATTTTCCAACTGATGATAACATTGATATATTTTTTGTATCAGTCACGATGTTTCCAAGCTATCCTGGTAGGATAGTCGATCCTAGTCAAGTATCAGTAATTAACTGTCGATTATTGTTCTCTCCTTGGCAACTCAAATGAATCCCCGAATGCAAATAATATGTATCCTTACTTTCTGCCAAATAATATGGATTCTAACAATAACAATTATAATCAACAAGCTCTCGTATGCTTACTGCCTTGTATTGCTTGATGAGCTTTATTCTCTATGTTTAAATTCTCTAGCTTTACCGTTTCGTTCACCCATTCAGCAACAAAATATTGGTCAATCATTCAGTGGTCTATCATCTTCCAACATTTTTTAGTATATTTCAGGATCAAACAATGGTAAAATATGTCTCTCGTGACTCTAGATGCGAATCAAGTCGATCCACTGTCTAGTGCTTCATGCAGACAATCACAATCGTTAACAATGACTAGTAGTTCATCTAATGTCAATGCTCAAGGTAATATTTGGCAGATCAATATCGATCAAACATACGGTTTATCTGTCAAAGTTGATACCCTTCGAGTTAATACTGAAGAGCAACGTATTACTGGAATTGTTCTTCTCATGTTGATTGATGCTAATCAACAACAAATTGGTCCATTTGTTTCTCAAATAAATGATGGCAGTATTTTAACAATTCAAAATCTCCCATCAACATCTATTTCAACTATTCATCTTCAATTTCCCGATGGTACTGAATCTTCCGGTTATTCAGTAGATATGGTTCTGTGTCCACAGACAACTGCTGCATCATCAAGTATACTAAAAATGTTTTAATTTCCTAGCTTGTTTATTTCATAGAAAGTGGCTATGTGCATCTGTGTGCATACAACCAAATGACTATGTCTACTCAGCTGGGCTATAATCAATTAAGTAGTTGATATCAAGTTATATTACAGTCTTATATGTACTTCATTATTAATATAAATAATATTCCTTAATTGATTAGTAATTTCAATCTATTAATTATTTTATCAGATTCAAATATAATACAAATCAAGCATTAAAATCAAACAAATAGAATGGGAAAGAGTGAATGCAAAAGTAAAGATCAACTACTCATTTAGAAACATTTCTAACGCTTCCTCTGTTAGGCACTGAACATAATGGCTGTACTTTACTATTTTGTGCGTACTTTGAAGAACCACATTACATATATGTACATATATGAGCACTCTTACTCTATGTTAATGGTACCCTCTTTCTTGAATTTAAAAATTATATAAAGAAAGGTTTTATATCTTTTTGTGATTAATTAACTTTCAAAATTGAAAATTAAAAGCGCAAAAAGTTTTCAATTTCCGACGATTCTGTTTATCGAGTTCAAATAATTAATATCCACTGAAGAAATATTTAAAACGAGAATAATAGACGAGTATAGAAAAACCATTTCATCATTATTTTCTTATGTACAATTATCTTCAACTGGTCATTAGATGTTAAATATATTGACAATAATACAATGCAATCGTTTGATTCAGTGTCTAAGATAAGAGCCGCTAGAAATGTTTCTAAACTAATAGTCGATCTTTACTTTTGCATTCGCTTTTCTCTTTATATTTGTTTGATTGTAATATTTGCTTTGTATTCTATTTGAATTTAATAAAATAATTCATAGATTTACATCACTAATAAATTACGAATTTTTATTTATATGTTATCAATAAGACTATAATGCAACTTAATATTGACTGTTTAGACGATTATAAGTGCCTGAACGCACATTGGGCGCCTTCAGTTTTTACAAAGAATGCATTTCAAATGATAAGGAATTCGCTGAAAAACCAGCGATGGAATGGGCATGATCGATTTTCTGATTATCAGAGTCATAAGTATGCTTCAATAAAATTCACTGAAACAGGTCCTCAAATTTCCCAATAGAAGATCGTCATTTAAAATAGAAGAATAAGTATCCCACAATATCTTTCGATCTAAGCCAGATACGACTGATGAGATACAAAATTTTCATTATCTATCGAGTATGTAAGTCCGATCTTTTGGCATATTCGAATTATTATTAAAATTTGTATTTTGTATGTCGGAGAAGGAAGTTTTATGACAAAGTTATCGAAAATAAATCTTCTTTCTGAAGTAAAAGAGACAATTATAGAGAATCACATGATAGAATACTGTTTCAGCTCACCGCATTTGATAAACGATCATAAAATAATAATTCACTTTTAGAAAGTTGTAATCAAGGTTATAATAGTCAATCAGGACAATCTATACAGCAAAACTCGCTTTTGCAGCCGCACCAGTTGAAACCATATCTTCACCGATATCAAATGTTGCCAGTTTCACAAGTTCGACAGCCATCACAAGTACAACAGCCTGGATAAGTTTATCAACAAGGTCATTCTAGAAAACCACCGCACTTAGGACAAGCTGGCCAACAACGCATACCATGGCAATCTCCAGAACCTACACCACTGAATCAACAAAGTCAATCTTGGCGATCGCCCTATTCAGGACAATCTAGTCAACAACTGTCGCCTTCGCAATCTCAACAGCTTGTACCAGTTAATCAACAAGGTCATTCTAGGAAACTACCATATTTAGGACAAGTTAGTCAACAACAAACAACCTGGCTGTACCCACAACCTGCACCACTCAATCAACTTGACCAGTCTTGGCAATCACCCTATTCAGGGCAAGCTGGTCAACAACAAACACCAAGGCAACCCAATCAAACAGCAAAACCAGGAAGTCCCTTGGGTAAGATATATGATAGTTCCAGCTTTAGAGATTTTCCTACAACATTGCGTTAGTGTTATAAGTCATGTCACGAAAACTGGCTTTTAAAATTACTGCTAGCGCGCCAATAATGTGGTGGATGCTTCAAGCTAGTATTACATAGGATGACGTTTTAGACAATTTAAAATAATAATAGGAGTTGAAAGTATTCTTTCTAACAATTTTTATTTAATCGGGAAACGAATGAAAGTTGATTTTGGCTGAACTTAATGCTGATAATTTATCGCATTCTTATTTATGGACTTGATGTTTGGTTTTTGCTTCGAGAAGTTTTAATTTGGGAAAGTTCTTACTGAAAAATTGAACTGAAGAAGGCGTCGGTAATGTTGGAGCAATTTGCTTGCCACCAGAATAATCCAGTTTCTCGCATAATGTGAATAGAAAAACAAGATGTATCGTCGAAAGAAATAAGGCAAAATTGAATAGTTGTCTAGTCAAACCTGAATCTTTATTATTGGAATGATTTATGAAACAATAGAGATAATAATTCTTGTTACTGTTAATAATGACTGGGTTGAACATCGATCATTAGGGGTATGACAGTTCAGTTTTAGTTCCTATCAAAAGAACTATTCAGACAGTTCCTTAGATCTGATCTGCTCGAACAGTTCGTTCGTTCATTTTATCTGAACTTAGATCTGAGAACTGTTACACCCCTATTGATCATAGACATTTTGTTTTTGAAAATCNTTCGTCTTTTGTCTTACTGGATTAGTCATTCATCGTACATAACAGCTGTTCTTAGTTCTGACCTACTTTTCTTAGCTGTGAGAATAACTATAGTTAAGAGAAGAAGAATAGAAAGAGAAATTGATCAACACGCAAACATTTTACTTCTTTTAACTATAAAAAAGATATTTGAATTTTGCCTAGGGAGAATTCTAATTCTAATTTTGCCTAGTCAAATTTCAAATTTGACTGGATTTTAATTTTGCCTACAACATATATATATATGTCGAAGTTGACGTTGGAATCAATTCCATCGTTTGTTTTTTATTTTATTAACTTCTTTTAAAGATATATGCAATATTTCGTTTGTTTGCATGAAATTCATGTTTAATCGTTTTCCATTGTTATCTATTAATTGTTTCTTGTTACGATACACAAGAGTTTTGAATCGAAGTTAAAAAAACTTGAAATCTTTTTTTTTATAAATTGTGCTTTCATTCTATACTCGGAACACGAGAACATTAATCAATGATGGATTAAAAATTCAGTATCAGGAAATTCGTTGTTTAATTATCAGTGAAACGATTTAGGACATTTTAAATAGCAGTTCGTCTGTTTCTTTGTTTGATTGATTGAGGAATAATTTCGAATAGATGCAGGTTTTTGTTTATCTGCTCGATACGCTTATCATGAGAAAATTTATCGACATTGGCAATGTTCATGCTTTCGAAACTAGATTTACATGAAAAATAAGTCAAAATATGTGGAGATAAAAACAAAAGATATTGAATGCGTTTCTTTGCTGAATGTTTCATAGCAATGAACATCAATCGGTTGTTTATAAGGAAATTATTGGAATTTGTAAGAGCCAAGTATTTACTGAATGAAAATTAACTATTTGAAAGTAGTGCAACATAAGCTATAAAAATTCGATCAATAGTTCAAGATTAATAACATAATTAATCGGCGTTGCTTAATTGGGTGTGAATTGTGTCTAATTGCCAGTTTAAACATTAATATAACGTTTTAATTTGTTACTTACAACTTAAGAGCAATCTTTCTGGTCGAACGAAGACTTAATCTATAAAAATGAAACGATTTCATTGAATTTGAATAATACTTGCATAAGAATTCGAGTTTTTCATATCTAGAATGTGAAATAGTGAAATTCACAGTGTGATGCTTTTTCAACAAAAAAAAATGAAATGTAATAGTATTATCTTCTGTGTTAACATTTAATAACTTCATTTAAAAGACAAATGATTTGAGTATGATAATAACATCTTATCGATACGTTATAGTCACAAGTGCTCATGAATTCAATATTGACTTCGGTTGGCCTTTTTCTAATACTAAAAATGGCATCATCATCTAGTGCTTATTTCAGAATCATATTCGCGGTCCAAATTTGCATTGACTCTTTGTCCTGTTCGTTCGCTTATTGGTTACATCTAAACTGCTTTTCTTTTCTAGATTGTTGACTTCTTCAATTAATGTGTAGCTATTGATCATTGTTACTGCATTTTTTCTTGATCTGTCTAACTGACTGAATTTGAAATTAAAGCTTTTAAGTGCACATTATGGTTCTGCTATTAATTGATGAAGTTTCTAAGCGATTCAGCCAACAAGATTATCATTCTACTTGTATTTATATATCTTGTTCTGGGTTTATCTAATGCAAAAAATCAATCGTACGTTTCATTTTAAATATTTCCATCGGTGTATATATATGCCATCTCTTTTTTTTTAAAGAGCACACTCTCAGCCTCGTAGAGAAAATGATTCTCAACAAAACCGTAAATCTGGCTACTCCTGGAAATTCTGTTTTCCTGATGTCTTTTTTTATTTTAAGAGCGTATACTAAGATTTGCAGTGCGCAGTCAATGTGTAACTATTGATACAATGAACGGATTAATAAAAATATAGCTAAGACCGTGTGTATTAAGATGATATATAATATGAATATATCATTCGAATATATTGTAATTAAACAGACACGTTGATTTTTCAAAACAAATCTAATTTTCATGATTTTTAAAAATTGCCAAAAATTTCTCCTCTACTATACGCAAGTGTTTATTAATTAATTTAAAAGAACTAGCCAGGCCGAAAGTCCTATATATATCTGTGTGTGTGTGCACTACAGCTCATGAAAACTTCATTCGATTTGGAGATCGCCAACACAACTGTGCTAGGGACCTCAAGATATACCCTTCAAAGAGATTTCAACGATTTTTTTTTCTGAACTCCATATGTATATTAATGAAAGTTATGTGAATGACTACTTCAGATAGTAGTTTATGAAATCATCAGTTGAGATTAGGTTGCTGCTTTAACTACTTACATTTATATTCTGTTCGAAATCGTGTGGAATTATTTGCTACATAATGAATTAATCATAGTAGCTATACACATATCCACACCCATGTTCTTCTCCTTGGGAAATTGAAAAGAGACCTGCATTGAAAAAGAAAATCGATTAGATTTGCTTTCAAAACGCTTCTACTCAGATCAAACAAAGCCAATCAATATAAAATAGCGGGTCACATTACATTAGAATACATATGAGATGGGAAAATGAAATTGCCTGGGTATTATTCGATTAATCCATATTAAAACATAACGAAGTGATATCTATTTTCAGAAAAACATGATCTTTAAAATATGTGACGCCATGAATAAGAAATGAGAATTCACTACAATATATTAGGGTTTATTAAAATAGAAATCATTATTGACTTGTGAGCGAAAGTTGACATAGTCTCGAAATAATTGGATTTCGTATCCTAATGAACCATGACATATGTCATTTCATTCTGAGTATAATCCCATCTAATATAGCAAAGAAAATACCGTCTTCTTAGACATCTCCTAGTTACGATATTCTTCCATGTTTCTGACTGATTTATTAATAGACGTACGCCTATTTGAAAAACCGGATACGGTCATATAAATTTCTTTGCAAGTGTTACAACAAAATCGTCATTCGATGTTGCTAATCTCTGCACCGATCAGCAGATGTTTTAGTTTTTCTTCTAATTGCGTTCTACACCAAAAAGAAAAAAATCAAACAATTCGGATACTAAATCGTTGAACTCGATGATTATTCGAATCAGCTACATAGAGATTGCCATGTTTATCGAATGCCAAACCTTCCGGACCATTTAATTTATTTGCATTATTTCCTGGAAGGTATCTGTTACCTGCAATAATATTTCCATGAGAAGCATCCTTATACCACCGCATCACTCGATGATTGTAATAGTCGGCAACATAGATCGTGTTCAATCGATCAACTATCAATCCTGCAGGATGAAACAACTGTGTTTCATCTTTTCCTTTATGATGACCACCGGCCACGATAATACCTTCTTTCGCTCCTTGCTCCCATTTTACTACACGATTATTCCAAGTGTCTGACACATACACCACTTGATCTGGTCCGACAAAAATATATGTCGGATGATTGAGCTGCTTGAGACGACTGCCTTGTCCATTTCCACCTGCTACTACTGTTCCGTAGCGTTCACCTGGCCGATATCGTCTAACTTCATGTAGCTCAGTATCCGACACGTAGAGGGATCCTTCATCATCCATAGCTAGTCCAAAACATTCTTTGTTCGTAATGAGCTCCTCTGCAAATGTGCTACTTCTACTAGCCCAACGCAACACTCGCCGATTTTGATAGTCACAAATAATATAACTTTTTGACTGTTCGTCATAAATTACATTTGAAGGTTCCCACATTCGATCAGAACCGTATCCAGATATGTTTTTACCTGCAATTATTTTACCCGCAATCACACCACGATTATACTTCATAATTCGATTATTTGAACTATCAGCAATGAAAACAGCTTGATTCTTATTCACGAAAATGCCTTTGGGAAAATTAAGTGCTGCCAATGCAGAACCTGGGCCACGAATACCAGCAATAGTTTGAGCTTTAGATTTCCATACTGTACCATAAGGGATATTCGGTATAACTATAATTCAACGAAAATATGAAAAATCAGAAGTAAAATAAATTGATGACCTACTATCGGAAACTATTCTGAATCGAGCTTAATTTATAGTCGGAATAATCTCATCAGACTGAAGTATGTATACATATCCTTGTGACCAATACAGAGAGTGTCGTCTATGACTGTCGGCATGATGGTGTATGATGCCATCTGCACATCTCTAGTCGTGCACTTCTTTCAGTTACATTCCCTTATATATGCGAGAGTGATCACGCTTGAGCGGATATAGACAAAGAGGGAATGGTCACGCAATAGAAAAGTGAGAATTCATCAGGTCAATGCACGAACATAAGGATACAGCGAAGAGGATAAAATACATAAAGTGAGCCGTAACGGTAAATAACGTTACAATCATGAATTAATAAATCTTAGCTCAACCATTGAGAAAGAACCACATAATTCGTCATCTCATGAAAAGCTATGTATCTCAAACAATTTTGCATAGAAAATCATAATACAACTATTCTAGCCTTCAAAATAAATCTATAAAATGATAGTTTTTCTTCTATACATACTACTTGACACGGCATTGAGAAAGACTCCATCATGCTGATCTAATCCGTTCATAGACAATGGTTTCTGTACACCATTGCTTTCCGAACACACATTTTTTGCTATGTCTCGAAAAACATCAGTAACATTGATATTTTCTCGAGCAATATTTCTTATTAAATGCTTGCTAAACAAGCAATTACGTTGTTTTCCTCCAGAATCATCGACTGTTTGATTAGCAGCACAGGCGAATTGTATGAAAGTTCCAGAAGGTGGTTGAATTTTATTCAAGCCTTTGCCATGAACCGTAGCTAAAAAAAGACGATTATTTTTTAGATAAAGGCATGAATATTTTACTTACAATTTGATGTTCTAGGAGGTTTTAGCCAATATGGTGGACAACAATCAAAAATGAATATAGTTACATATGAAGAATTTCTCTCTATTAATCGCTCCACTATACTTTGCACACTGATACCAATATCCTCTACATCGATATCAGTTTTTATTCTAGTATCATCAACAGGTATCAAATAGTTTTTGCCACTAACTTCATATCCATGGCCAGAAAAGTAGAAAAGAATTATATCGCCATCGTTGATTGTTTTAGAGAAACTTTTAATTGTGACCATCATTTCTAAATCAACATCAATATGCATAGTAACATCAAAATCGATTTTCTTTAGCACATCACTCAGGTCTCTTGCATTGTTGATGGAATGATTCAATTTATTGTGTAGGACATTGTAGTTGTCGTTGCCAATGATTAATGCTAATTTTCGACGAGGAGAAGAATTCTTCTGGTCAGTTTTCATTGTTCTCAATCTATATCTGAAATAGCAATCGTATCAGAAAAAAAGAATGCCTTGAATAATAAAATATGATAGTTAAATTCCCTACAGCGTGTTTTGAACATCCGTTATATGGGAGCCGAAGACCACTTAGTAGAGCCCGTCTAGTTCTAACTTTAAGATTAAAAGTTCGCCCATAAAGATATATTCTTTTGAAGCTGGTCAGTACTGGATTTGTACCCCTATCAAATCCCTACAGGAAAAAAAATACCTTGTAAAGTTTTTACTAGTTTTCGTTTCAACAAACCATTCAATTTCTTTGTGAATTATACTGCAAGATACGGAATTAATAACTGAATGCAATAAGCTGTGATGGTCCACGATGTGGTTTAGAATAGTATCAAAAAAAGGAATTTACTTTCGAAGCGAAACTTCTTAACAATTTTGTTACCTAGCACGATTGTGAAACTATACAAATATGATAGTTGGAGTTTGTAGGAAAAGCAAATGCTGTAACTTTTAAAGGTCTCTTACGAGAGGCACTCTTGGTGAATTTTTAAAAACTTGCCCGGATCAATGTTCAAATCAGTAAGGTTTTTTTCTAGACTACTGGTACAAATATTGATCTAAGCTGGTTAGACCGGCATAAGTGTCTGCTCACTACTCTGATTTGATATAAATCATACCTAATTCTGAATTACTACATAACTTCGTTAGGACCTCTGCTTCATCATCGATGGACCTTTCTCAAACATGATTGTCAATGACTGCTGATGGATACGATGGGAAATTCGATTCTGTTTTTCTAGCATCCTGAAAAACTCGTAAAAGCCTGCCTAGCGATAACTCTTAGCTTATTTCAGATATGACGGTCGAATAATAGAGACCAAATGCTTCTCATTACTTCAATCCACTATGACGCTAATCGGCGAGGCAAGTGAGCTGTGCTGAAGTAAATCTAATATCAGTCTATATTATATGGATTAAAGCTACCATACTCGAGTCACATGTTGATACCAGGATAGAAATAGAAATGAAGCTCTAGGAGTATTGTAAAAAATTAGTTTGAAATAAGAAACGTTTCTCTAAAGAGTTTATTATAGAAATACAGCTTGGTAGGAAGTACGGAATATCAATCAGACAAAATATCACTATAAGTATGTAATAGATTACGTTGACGAAATGTGATTCCTATTGTTTCAGCCCTAGAATTTGATAAAGAAGTCACTTGATAAAAATTACATGGAGTACATACATACATCAGCATTGAGAACAATGTTAATTTAATACGAACACCTAAGCATTGGTTTATACTAAAAAAAACCAGCACTAAAGTATTAGTATTAATTTTAAGGCTGATACCAATCCGGCAGCACTATCTGTAGCTTCCTGCTACTACTTATTATTAAAAGTATTTCTTCAAGGTTGAACAGAAACTCGTGTTCAACTGGAGTAAAGACTTTCTGTAGTGTTTGCATTTTTGGTAGAGGCAACACTTTCACTTTGTTTCTAAAAACAAAGAAAAAGAAAGTCTTCTGCATCTCTCATATCGTAGAAGGACAATTTAAACCTCCTGTGAAGCTCTGTAAGGAAAAAAAATTGAAAATTCCACAATAAAATGCAAAGAGAGTGAGAGAACGTAAAACGGAAGTAAAAGGAAAGTATTAAAAAAACAATGTGAAAACTTTTTCTCTATGCAATAGCGTAGGAAATTCAGCTGCTTCTTGAACGCACTAAATGAAGAAGGAAGCTTCTACTTTTCTTTCTTTTCGGGAAAGAAAATTTTTATTTTACAATAATTTACTGGAAAAAAGATCAGTGCAGTTCTTGTTTTGATACAGACGCTTAAAAATCATTCTTTCCGTGTGTATATAAACTTACTGATACTTGATAAGAGAGTTTGAAAGACTAATGCATGTGCCACAGAGGGAATTAAAATTTTTAGAACACTACAGATATCGAAAATTCTAATTTCTTTTGCAATATATACAAGAGAATGTTGTCTCATTCATTTGTGGTGCATGAAGATGTTTAACTTCTCTTTTGTGAAACACGGTCTGAAACGAGTGTTGAAGTATATAGGATAGAAATTTGAACCCCCCGCCCCACAGACCGTGACAGAGAAATTAATTTATTAGTTACTTAATTTCTCTGTCACGGTCTGTGATGATCTCTACCAACTCCATAGATCAAAATACAGACTGTGACCGAAAGGCTGTATATTTGATTACAGATAGTGGCAGAAAAGCTACAAAGACGCACAGATCGTGGTAGACGGATTCCAGCAAAGGAGTTCCATCGTGTTTCATATTTTAATCCAACAGGGATTGCGCTAACAGCTTTTTAGTATAGACAGTAGCTCTCTATAAACTTAGCTGTAACTGCGTTTGGTCTTTGCAAGAAAACTTCGTATTTCACTAGTCAAAATCATTTTGTTCGTTTTTTTTACTATGTTTACTGGATTCCTTGCTGGTTGTAAACGATACAAGAAATAAATATTTTCTCGCCATAAACATCTTGTGTGTGCCTGTGGTAAAGCGCTCTGTCAAATTGTTTATCAGGTCATGCACGAGAGTCCTTGCTGCGCATCGATGTATTTTATTGTATTTTTTTCTGATCCGTTCTTTCAGTTCTTTCTGCGACGTTATAAAGAGTCATACTTGAGTATAGCTTTTTTAGTTATTAAATCAATTGAATTCTTGACCAACAGAATTGCCGTCGTTTGTACGTATTATATGACAATTATAATCTTTATCAGTTTCTTTGAGTGGATTTAAAATAAGTCAATAATAGGGCGGGGGAAAGGACAAGGACAATGTTGAAGATATATACGGCAGTTGAGATTGTGTCTTAGAAATGCAATTCCGATATGTGGACGAGAGGTATCGTCTGTAATTTAACTCCAACATGAAGGTTATTCTTATCAATCTTTTGCTTTCTGTTATTATGTCTCTCACAAAAATGTTGATATATGTTCCTTAGTATAGAATAAAAAAGAGGCTGCTACCAAATGAATTCTTTAAACCGGTCTGCGGGTTCAGGGCCCTTTTTATTAGTTTCTCGGCATCGGTCACTTGAAATGTTTTTAAGAAGAACGTTTTTGTCGAAGTGTCAATGGCTGCTACCGGATGATTGATAGAGTATCCATTTTGAACCTGTGAGTAAGTATGTTGCTCTATTGTTAGCTCTGTCGCACATTGTTTGATAAAGGTTTACGAACCGCTTTCAGATATAGACTGAAACAATGGCCAATACACAGGAGAACTCTTCTTCTCGTCGAAAATTAGCATTAATCATTGGCAACGACAACTACAGTGCCCTACACAATAAATTGAATCATTCTATCAACAATGCACAAGATCTGAGTGATGTGCTCAAGAAAATCGATTTCAATGTGACAACAGCTTGCAATTTAACGAAACAGGAGATAATCACGAACATAATTGATTTTTCCGGCACAATTAGTAATGGCGATATAGTCCTATTCTATTTTTCTGGCCATGGCTACGAAGTCAAGAAAAAAAATTATATGATACCTGTGGATGATGCTGTTATAGAAACCGAAAGAGATATTCAAGACTTCTCAGTTAACATTGAGCGAACACTTTCGCGATTAGTAGCAAGAAATTCTTCGTATGTGACTATACTCATCTTGGACTGCTGTCAACCCTATTGGCTACAACCTCCTACAACATCAAGATGTAAGTAATTTTATTTATAAGTTTGTATACGAAATATTTGTATTTCTTTAGCTACTGCTCGCGGCAAATCTTTGGATGAAATTCAACCACTTCCTGGATCTTTCATACAGTTCGCTTGTGTTGCTAATCAAACGGTTGATGACTCTGGAGAAAGAGATCGTAATTGCTTATTTACCAAACATTTACTTGATAATATTGGTCGAAAAAATGTGGATGTCGCTGATATTTTTCTGGATATATCCAAAAACGTATACCATGAAAGTAATCGTTCACAGAAACCATTGTCTATGAACGGATTAGATCGATATGGTAGAGTCTTTCTCAATGAAGTGATTGAGCCTGATATAAGTAAGTTATACAAGATGTTAGACGAAGAAACGATAAGATCCTGTTTGGCAGCTCCAATCAGAATGGTTTTGACAAAGAGAATGTAGTAGCCGCATTGATTCAATCTTAAGACAACTAATGAGTTTCATATAAGGCTTTGAACTATTTTTCTAACGTTGAGTTTTCATGAAACTTACCCATGAAGCACTCGTTAACAAGGCGTTCTTTCTAATCCTATACGTATTCAAATTGTTATTTATCTTTTCGGTTTCGAAACATTGCCAAATTCGAACTTAAATAGTTCAAGTTTAATAGATTTACACTGATTTCAATCAGAACTACAACTACTTTTACCATTTTTCGATTCAAGCGAAGTCCTATATAATAAGTATTTTTAAAAGCTTTAATTTATAAAAGACAATTTCCATAATAACACGATTATTCTTTAAATATTTCAGAAGATTTCCTGTCGAAACAACTTTTGCCACACGACGAAAAAGTCTATTATGACAGATGTAAAGAATATTGTCAACTCACGAAACAACCATTAATATCCGTTGGCGATGAAATTTTTGATGACACTACCGAAGTAACATCATTATTATTAGTACTTGGCATTGAAGAGGATCCCAATTTATTCGATTTAAAAGATTTTTTGGCTCAATTTTGTAGAAAAATAAATATACCGGTAGTAGATCTGCAAGTTCAACAAATACAAATAGGTTCATGTATAGTAATAACAGAAATTTGGAACAAGTTTAAATCGAGTGATAAAAAAGTACGTGTCAAAATGATATGCAAGTCACTTACGCAAAAATTATTACAAAAACTTGGTCTAATGAAAATTTTCTTCATATTTATGGGCACTATAGAGTCACTAAAGCGACAGTTCAGTCGCACAGAAATTAGATTAAATCCTGAATATGATCGTATATATGCTCCTGGTCATACCTTTTGGGAAGGAGCCAATAATGATAGAAAAGATCGTGGTAATCAACCTTATTATTGTCCTGTTGGATGGAAAAGGTTTTCTTTGTATGTTACTGATAATTTTTATGGAAAATTTAAAGGATGGTGTATATGCTATCATGGTACAAAATTTGCGTATGGTTTATCTATTTTGCTGAGTGGATTGAAACCGGCAACACGTATTGCACACGGTGCTGGAGTATATGCTACACCATCTGTTAAATATGCATGCCATCCAAGATATGCCGAAGTTAGGTTGATTGAAGAACAACATCGAAGTAAAATTTTTAAATCGGGTTCTTACATGCAATACGTATTAGAGTGTCGTGTTCATCCGGATAATATTGAAAAAATAGGAAAAGAAACATTGAATGCTCGTAGCACCGCTATTGATCCCAATATAAGCAATGAAAGTATTGAATGGGTTATTAATCACCAAAATAAAAATATTGTTGATTTCAATGATCCAAAATCTTCTATTGTTTGCACAGGAATACTGATGCGAGTCACAGATAATCATCCGGGTTTGTTGTTCGAATCGCAATGGTGGTTTCCATCACACTTATGTGAAAAACAAGAATGCTGTGCCTTAGGCATTGATCTGTCTAAACTTGAAAGACAACGTAATGATGGGAATACGTGCAACATTATCCTTGAATAAGACGAAACATAAATAGATACTCTCTCTTTTTGTAATCGTTTCTTTTATACTGACCATTTTTACTTTTACTGAAGTTCAATAAAAAAGAAGACTTATTTTCTGCTTGATGCTTTCATAAATTTCACGGTAAAAAAAAAATATTATGAGTCTCACCTAGCTTAATGGCGCTCCGCCGCTCCTGGCGATAGCCATCATGAAACAGCAGAAAAACTTTAATCTATGAGATCCAGCAATAGCCATTGATTTCACACATTCACACCGTTCACGTCTATACGATTATACATTCATCTCATGTAGGATGAGTCGGCACAATTTCTTTTCCTGGCATCGCCACGAGGAGATCTCGCACTCGAATTTCTGAAGCGTCTATTCAATGAAACTAGCGTAGATTCGCAGAGCAATGATTGAGGTATAATATGGTGCACAATTCTGGCAATATCAACAAAAAACTAACTGAGCAACTTTGATTTTATTTTTGAAACCTGAAAACAGAGAGTTCACGAGAAATGTTTGTTCTATATTACTTGTGCAGAAAATTTTTTTCAATCTTCTAATATAGCGAAGATATAAAGTTAAAACAGTGAAAATTCAATAATGTCTCCAGATCCGTTCGGCATGTCTCTACATTAAATAATACATCAGCAAAAAACAACGTTTATTAATCTATTAAAAACGATTTGATTTAATAAGATCAATTGGTTTACGATAATCATAGATTGATGGTGCTAAAAAATAAAGAACAACAAAACGATGAGAAATTCAAGTTTTTGCTGGTGTACCTTGTAAAATGATTCCACATGTACCAGCAAAACAAGCCGTTGTGAATATATAAAGAAAAAGTCGATCGATTACTAATGCAACATATTTCCATTCTTCTTTAATCTAAACAAAACATGACAATCAAAATAATTCCTTTCATCTTTCGTACTGTTTTTTCTTCATCGTCTAGTTTTATTTGTGCTGCAATGCGTTTTAAACCTTCGAATACTTGTTTGATTTCATTCGGGCAAAGTGGCGGCTCGTTTGAATATTCAGTTTGTTCCGTTTGATTTGAATCAAACTCACCAAGTAATCGTAGGTTTTTTTTACGTATTTGATAGCGACCTAAATTAACTAATGGCAATTCAAAATTTATTGCTGTCATTCGATTTGATTGTTTAATACAATTGCGATTCATTGTTGCTAGATGAAGATCTAGTGGATTAATTGATTTTGGTCGGCGCACCAATAATAATTTCGGTAAAACATGTAGAAACACTCGTCGTACCCATGTAGGCATTTGATGTGTTGATGGAGAGCGAAAATGTACATTAAGGACAACAACAGTGACAAGAATAGACAATGTAACAAGAATCATTGTAAATAATACATATTTGCCAATTAATGGTACAACAAGTGACGTTGGTGGAATGAGCTCAGCTAATAGTAAAATGAATACAGTCAATGAAACTAATATTGATATGCATAGCGTCACTTTTTCACCGGAATCTGATGGTAAATAAAATGTTAGTATAGTTAAAAATGATATACCAACACATGGGATTATAAAATTAACAGTATGGAAAAGTGTTTTACGACGAAGTGTAATTAAGAATGTTATATCAGGATATGTTTGTGGGCAACATGGATATTTTTGAACATTGCGTGTAGCTGGGACTTCCATTATATCCCATTCAACTGAGCGATAAAAATCAGCTAGGTCAATGGCATATGCTATATCTATCAAAAAAAGAATACGTGTCCAATTTTTAGATAATTTCAAAGCTTTTTATTGATTAAAATATCCTATGACGAGTATGCTAAAGCAATCTTTCGGTATCACCCAAGTCAATGATTTCAATAGATGTTCGATCAGAAAAATCTGCAAAATAATATGAACTTGGAAACACTAGATAAGATTGTACTAAACATCGTAGAATCTGATTGTTCGTCCTGGGAATGCTCTTACTATTATTGCCATAAACAGGTATAAAACCGTTTGTTTGATTGATATGAACAATATCAACTTGTTCCCCTGAATATGTCCGTGAGCCGAATTTCATTTGACAATGTTGAATATCTAAATACACAATAATACATTGTAAAAATAATAGATCTTGATATTTTTATCATAATCTATGTTTAGATTCTCAATTCAGAAACGAAATGATTTAGTTTCAGTACAATATAGCTCGACGCTACGGCGCCTGATTATATATAAACAAGAGGGGATTTTATTTCTTAATTTTTTTATTATACATTTTCATTCTCATGTGTAAGCACCAATCATGGACTTTCGATTAACAATGGTTTTTTCTTCGATCCCCACCCTTCTTCATCCAGTTGTGACAGACCCATTTTCAAGTAATAACTTAGTTGTTCAACAGTTCTATCTTTGACACTGATTGAATCAGACTTCATGAACCAGAACTTATAAGAAGACGAACTGAAATATGTGTGCAGATTAAACACATCTGTATTGGGTTTCTCTTGAATCTTGGTAACTTCTGTCAGATTTTGTTCCAATCCTTGTTCCTTAGGCAATTTCAGATGATCAGAAATTAGTACAATGGAACTTTTCTCATCTATTATCATTCGAGTATCAGATCCAGCATGTTGAGTACACATTTCAGACTGAATCATCAGGAAACTCATAGCTCAAGCTCATGTATGTTTCGCTTTCCATGCGAATTTTTACTAACCAAATGGAATGAATTCAACATTGATTGTACAACTCGACTTGTAAATTGCTGGTGGCTAAGAAAAAGAAAAAGAATTACAACAAAGCAATATTTTCCAACATTACCTCCCAAATAACACGACCATTATAATAAACAGTAGCTTTCGTCATTAGATTGACTTCATAATTACCATCAGCACTAAAAGATTTAAATACTAACTTATAAATGACAAGGTTTTTTTGCATTCATTACATTTATTTGCCAAGCAAAAATAAAAGAGTTCTCTATTGCTACATGCAAATGAGTATATAATCGCCTGTGACAGGCAAAGCAGAAAGTCAAGAATTACTACTAAATGAAAAAAAAACACCAACTTATTCAAAAGCGCCAGATCTGGCCGCCATATAGCACTAGCCGGTAAAGAGATGTTGGTTATATTGTTGAAATGAATTGGATCCCATTTTAAATGTTCATCCATCCATAGCTAAAAATGATTAGTTCTTTTTTTTTGTTTTCATACCTGTAGTATATACATCATCACAATTAACTATTTAGTGAATACAGTAATAGGAGCTATCTATTGATGCTAAGTCTGTTGACGGATGTGTTTTTACTTTCAATATTCGGATAATCTATTCTTGCTAGCAATGTCTGTCCTTAACTATCAGAAGCGTTGATGGGCAGAATAGTAAATTTCCATTAAATACATATGTGTAAAAAAGCGAAATCCGTTTATCATCTTGTACATCAGACAGCATGGGTGTACCTAAGCGTGCATAAAAATCAAGGCAATGATAAACAATGAAATAAAGAAAACACAGATTTACGGTATATTCTCATGTCAACATTTATTCGCCATTGTATTAATTATGATACTATGTGAATTTGTATATGAAGAAGGGTTATGTGATAAAAATCATAAAAAAATCAATAAATAATAGAAAATTGACAATTTTCTACGTGACGTGATTGGCTTTTGAACAAAAACAGTACAAATTGTTAAGGATACAGTGCAACAATAAGAATAACAACATCCAATCCATAACATAAAGACGATTACTTGTTATACAAGACAATATCAGGAAGCCAGATTTGTTGGCTCGGTATGTGGAGCACGTTGACGCCTCCATATTTGATTGGATTCCATCGAAGTTTCTCGTCGTACCACTCCTACTCATGCATGCGTTCCTTTGTTTTTTTACTCTCGAATTCTATCCTATATTTATTATACGAATGAATAACCATGACATAATCTTACCTGTTTAAGCCAAACATTTGTTGTCATTATTTGATTTTTTTCGTCCTTTAGCAATAGAAAAAAAAGCAAAGCAACAATTATTTTCTAATTTTCATAGAAAAAAACAGCTCTTCATACCACATCAAGTAATTGCGTTAATCGAAGACCCAAATAAACCGTTAATCGTTCGCTATGATGTTTGACTGGTCGAATTAATTTATTATAGGCACGTATTTGAATCAGTTCTTCATACAAACGTTTTGCATCAGGATTAGCAATAATTACCACTTAGGTTCATAACAAAATAGAATACATGTAACATAAATCTATGCATATATATATATATATATATTTAACAGCTTACCAACAATGAAGCACCAGTAAATATGAAATGTTAATAATATAATTATGCTTGTCTCCATGCATCTAGCTGAATTTCTTTCTTATGTATCGTATCTTTCACTGATTTCTATGTCTTCTGATAATGTGGCAACGATCATAATTGTGTACCATTAGAGACGAACATATATTATACCGATGAATAAACACATCATTTTCTCAATTTTTGCTGTTCTTATTTATTCTTTTTTTGACTGCATTGTGTCTCTTTGAGACAGCATATGTTTTCACTTAGATCAGGTTCTTCTTTATGTCATTGTTTCAATTTTCTCTCTCCCTGTCTCCTATCGTCGCTTGGAATGATAGGAGATGTCTCTCATCATCACTGTCTAAATGTCAGAAACATATGTGTAGAATAACAAATATATTCCGATTGTGCTCTTACAAGAAGAAAGACATCTGTACAGAACAATTACTCTAGCATCGTAGACTATACAGTACTGGACAGAATTAGAAGAACAAATAAATGTTGATAGCGCCTATTGCGCAGAACGGATGATGTCCAAGAAAAAGAGACTGACACATCACACACATATATTTTTTCTTTCTTTTTAACTGCTATTTCTCTTGTTTGTGTATATACTACGGGTATAATTTGTTTTACATCGTTCATTACACCATTAATGAGTCGGAAAAAAAATTTCAATATATCAAAAATACAACCTTTTACAATTCTACAAGTTTTGTTTTGCATAGGAATATATTTTAAATCAGCTTGGTCTCTCAAACGGATTATATGACATGGTACAAGCGAACAAAATAATAGTGACAACGGGCTACATGACTAGTCTGAAACGTCTGCCGTATCTAGCACGACTAGTTATCATGACAAAAAATGTCCTGCAGCATGTATAGACTAGGTTAACACATTCTTAAGTCGGATTGTGTCTAGTCTAATTGTCCATTCACTCGTTCTAGACTAGTTTATAGGCCAAAAAAGAATAAAAAGAAGAAGAGATCATTGATTGAGTTGAACACAGACCGACATTATTTAATAGCTGACGGGCGTCCAGGTGGTAGAACATATTATAGGGATATGATTACGTCAGTTTATGGAGTCTAAATTACAAGATGACTTCCGTCTGTTTAGCTGACAATGAAGAATTAATTAAACTTGAATTTTCTCTGACTAGTCAGAAACGACTTAAATGCATTTATTTCGAATTCCGTAACTGTGCCACGGGAAAATAAAACACACTGTTTATTGTATGTTGGATACTCTGATCTACGTATTTTTCAATCCATTACGCATACATATATGACAGACTATACTGTTTTTAATTTAGTAATATTTTTAGAAAAAATTACATTTTTATTTCGTTGAAATTATTTATCCTGTCAGATTAAATTTAAATATACATTCGGATAGAGAGGAAATAATTTGTAGGTTTTCCGAAGAGATCAGCAGTAGTGTCAAATTTGACAGTTGAATTCAATTGAAGTTAAAATTTTTAACTTTCAACTTTCACTGACAGCAACAATATGTGCGAGTCACGATTCTTCAGAATGTTATTGCTTTAAAAGTTGAAAATTTCAATTGAACTCAAGTTTCAAGTTTGACATATATGACAGAGTATGGGACAAGCAAGTACAAACCAAATGTTTTTTCCCCTTAGCTGATAAAAGCTATCAAGCGACAAGTACTATAATAGTACGAATTATCTGAGAAGCTGAATCAGTAAAAAAGTCAAGGGGAAACGGCGGACTTTGAGTAGAAAAGTATGCCAAAATACTTCAAAGCAGACTACTTGAAGTAGCTGAAAGTCCAAAAGTTCACCGTCTTCCCTTGCTGTGTTTGAACATTTACCATCTCTGAATTCAAATCCAAACCCGTTGTATATCTTCTCCTGTCGACTCAAATCGTGCTGCCACCCAGTATTAATTATTTGTTTGCGCTATTCTTTATTGCTGTAGTCTATTCGACTGGATTGCACTTTCCCTGCCGTGAATTATATTTCTTGATCTTTTTCAATATTAAATAGCGAACGAATAAATTGAGTATTCTTCTTCAAGTCTGTTTATTAGAGAAAAATTTTTAAATCTAATTAAAAATATTCATTCTATAGCTTTAGCTATTAAAGCTATTAAAAATTTGTCGTTAGCAAGCCGTACCAAAGAGTATGTTCCATTTTGGTCTTTGAGAAGTTTGCTGCTTTACAAATACTCGTTCGTATTGAAAAAGAAAGATTCTTACAACGGATGCATGGCAAATATATGATCTACAATAACACTCATCTCTATTGTTTCTGATTAACGATTAAAGATGCTCGAAGCTCAGATGTATCGATATCACTATGAGTTCATATATCTCTCTCACACAGTTTTTGTGTGTCTTTTCCATGGTGTTCAAAGTATATAAGCGATTTTCGTGTTCGAAATATGCCATCCTGGAATGTCAACGCATTGAGGGAGTACATTTCATTTTATTTTATCATAATGATATTCCATGCTCCATGAAAGATAATATTTTTCATGGGAGTTTTCTTTTAAAAACATACTAAAAAGATCACGAAATGACTGAGCTTCCTTGTCACCTTGAGTGAATTAACAAACACCTTGTATATTATTTTTGTATGTGTCGTGTCTTAGTACTGTTGCCATTGATAGTATACTGTTGGTGTGACGAAGAGTGACGTATTTCAGTGTCTGTATAATGTTTTACTGCTTCATTTTTTATTCAAGATTGACGAAAACTGACCCAGAAGTCCATATAAATTGATGGAACGTTTGCTCATATTGGTTTTAAGCATAATGCATATTCGGCATACAAAATTATAGGAGTATCGACCGATTGATATTTTCTTCAGTGTTGTTGAAATGAAGAAATAAAGCAACGAGTCAGTTTTCAATAGGCAGAAAGAAACCACTCAAATTATGAGATGCGACAGTAGACACGAAAGCATTGTTCGAAAATGTGCTGATCATACGATTTGTAATGAAATAGAGTCACAAATAAGATGCAAAAATCAAAGAGAATATTATAATTTCATTAAAAGTTTGAATGAATAGCTCAGATTTTCTTCCAAAGCCTAGTGGCTCGTTAATTTGTCAAAATTTGATCTTTTCCAAACTGTTTTGTTTAGATTGCTTTTTGAAAGACAGGTTCCCTTGTTAAAAAACAAGACGGATAAAGAACGGCAATCAATACAGAACGCAAACAGTTGATAATCTACAGCTGCCACCATTCGAAAGAAAACATCGAGGTATGTAAACGTATTGAAGATTGTGATAAGCCGATTGATTGAGTTCTAGTTGAACATTTTCAGAAAATATTTTTCTTTTTCTCTTTACCATTAATAGTTAGACAGTACTTCGCTGAAGAGCTAGAAGCAGTATCCTGAGACTCCTGACATCAGTCAGGTAACCTTCAATCGTTCTTAAATAGATCACATTAGAAGTAACCGATCATGCTAAGTCTAGTGATGATGTTTTTTTTAATTGCAAAAAGATCTGAAGCCCCTATGTCAAGATTTTCGATACAACTTTTTTCTACGCTGCATCCTAGCAAAAACTAGAATCACAGTGGCGGCGGAACCACTGAGACCCATGAGGGTTGAGCCTCACTTGCTTTTGTACTGATTATTGCTATATTTTATTCTTGCATCAAAGTAGGAACAAAGAAAAATTAATTTTGGTATTTTCCAATCTTGTTTTTTATACTGATCATTTTTATTTTTACTGAAGTGCAATGAAAAGAAGCCTTATTTTCTGCTTGATGCTTTCATAAAATTCCACAGTAGAAAAAAAAATATTATGAGCCTCGCCTAGCTTAATGACGTTCTGCCGCCCCTGTAGAAGAAGCATTATTGATTGCCTTTAGTGCGACTAATTTTAGAATGATTAGAGTTCATCTGGCCAAGTTCAGGGATTTCATGAAAGTGCATCCAGCTCTGGATGCCTTCTGAAAATATCCTATGGGAACTCAGTCAATTGACCAATCAAATTCGTTCGGATGGAAAAAACTAGAGATCGCTAGCTGCTTGCATTCCAGAGTTATTGTCGGTTTTTCATCCTTCTTCTTTTTTAAATGTACATTAGTCTTTTTGTTATCAAGGAAAAAAATCCTTGTGATGGGATTCAGAAGGCACGGACAATCTGAAGCTTCTCAGCGAAAACCCGATTTCTGGAATTTCTCCACTTTAAATGAGAGAAATCTAAAACTTTTGGAGTCGATACTATTCAATGAGACGATAATTTCATTAAACGGGTACTTTTGTGTTCAACGTTTTCTTTGCATCAAAAAGTTTCCCACAAAAATCAACTTTTCCGAGCTTTTGGACGCTAAATTTCTTCGACAAGAAACAATATTTACTTAACGATTTTATATGCGTTAGAATTGCCTTTAAACGTACTATTTAGTTATAAGATTTGGAAAGGCTTAAAACAAAGGCTGACCCCTGCGACGTGAATTGTGAGGAGAATTTTCGCTTGTTCCTAAACTTTAAGGCTTTCTTATAAGAAAACTAAGGCTTTCGGTGAGGAGAGTAATACATATTCATAGTTTACTCAAACCGAACCAACCAAAAAGTGATATTTCAGCATTAGTCCAGCACTTTTAGGGTCGACGGATTTTCAATGGTATTTCTGCAGGGTTTTTTTCCCAGAATTTTTAAACTTATTGGCCATTGAAGTTAATATATTTTTATTATAGGTTATATCAAGGTAATCACAAATATAAGGTTTTATCCTCGCGGGTGTGGGTGCGTGGGTCTACCGGCCAGGTCTATAATCGCCATTTCCAGACTTACATGCACAACCACATCCTCGTCCACACTGACACCCACACCCGATATATTATTGTCACTTTCTCGCATGATGTTTTTTTCATCTCATCGGTTGGTTTTCAGGATGCAGGTAGGGGTTTCCTTCTAAAAGAAAGTAATCATATAAAGACAGACAGCATAGCCTATTTCAACTTTTTAATTCAATTTTCTTTTTCTCCTGTAGGTAGATATTGATGGCACAGTTGTGTTTGGTTTGAGCACATTTTTATATCTATACCTCTTGTTATTTCTACCACTTT